CCATCCAGGATGTAGTCTTATCAAAAGAATAGAACTTGAATCTGACCAAGTCTCTAGGATTTATAGAAAATATAAAGAATGGAAGAACATATTGAATTACATGACAGAGATATAGTCAGCAAAATGCTGAGTGTGGGAAATTCAATGGGACAAATGATCCAGTTTCTTAAAAAGATTTCAAAAGACAGAGGGAGAAATTTATAAATACTTGTCAGATATGTCAAACAATGACAATGTGTGGACCTTATTAGGATCAATTCTAATACAAAACTATAAAAGTATGTATAGTAAGTATGAAAGAATTGGAATTTCAGCACTTCAGAATTGATATTAATGACAGACTTATCTTTTTTTATAGATTTACTTCAGTATGATAATGGTATTGTTGTTATGGCCCAGTAGAAAGTTCTTGTCTTTTAGGAATGCATGGTGAAATACTTACAGAAGAAATAATGTTTGAGCTTTGCCTGAAAATAAATCAGGAGGGAGAATAGACAGGCCTGTAGATAAATAGAATTGACCATTGATGGTTGATGATTATTGGCTCTGGGTGACACAGGTATTAACTTTATTATTAATAAAACTGGCTACCTTTGCTTTTGTTAAAAATTGTCCACAATGTAAAATTTAAAAAGAGAGAGAGAAAGTAAGGCAGATACATAGTGAAGTAAGCTACAGAAAATAAGAACGGCCTCTGAATTCTCTCTCTAGGCACTTAGTACAGATATTGCACTTGGCCTTGGACTTTCTAGTCAATCACTGGAGAGGATCTGCTTCACACACAGCCCTGAATGAAGGCATCTGGAAGCCAGAGTAAAGCGAGGGATGGGAAATGAAGCCTGGTAGTATGGATAAACCCAGACTCCTCGCAACTCGGAGATATGAATGTCTCAAATACAGTAGCTATGGGAAGTAGGAAAAAAAGAGGTGAGGTACACTTAAAAAGTGGAGTTTGGAAAATTCACCTGGATGCCTGTGTATGGATACTTAGTAAAGGGAGAAGGAACTCTGCGTGCCACACCAGGGGATGGGCCTCGAGAGAACAGGTAAGTTGGTCGTATGGACTAAATATTTACGTCCCTGTGTCCTCACAAAATTTATATGTTGAAGTTCTACCCCTCAATGTGATGGTGTTTAGAGATGGCGACTTGGAGCGGGGATTAGGGTTATTTAAGCCACACAGCCTATGGACTTCTGTTATGGCAGCCTGAGCTGGCTAAGACAGTTGGTCACGGAAGAGGTTATTTCACCACCATCAGTCTTAATGTTCTAATGGGCTTTAACTCCACGGATAATCTGGAAGGCCTCTGAGAGAAAAAAGAATGTGATAAAAATGGGGAACTAATATTTGTTAACTGCTTACTGGGATTGCTGCTTTATGAATATAGCTAGGTATTTTATAAGCTGTAACAATACGTTTCTCCTCTACTTATACTTTTCCTTTCCTTTCTGTGCTTGTTGCCTCAGGGGAGAGGAAATAGAGGCGATCTAAAAATCTTTCCGACCCTCGTCTTCCAGGAATGAAGCCGCATGAAGATCTTAGGAG